CAATCCTGGGTTGTTCTCACAGCGCCATCTTGAGTCCTCCGAGAGCCTTTTTTTTTTTTTAAGATGGGGTTTCACCATGTAGTCAGGCTGGTCTTGAACTCCCGACCTCAGGTGATTTGCCCACCTTGGCCTCCAAAGTGCTTGGATTACAGGTGTGAGCCGCCACGCCCGGCCTGAAAAACGTTATTTTCTTTTAAATGTAAGGCATTCCCATTGTGAAGACTTGAGAAAATACAGAAAAGTACGAAGAAAAACATTACCTACAACTCCACTCTCCATGATTATCACTGTGGCTCATTTTTCAGTATTTCTTAATTTTTTAAAAACATTATGCAGAGTACCTTCCACTCATTGCCTTGTTTAATTCTCCCAACAACCCCATTAAAGTAGGTACTTGTATTTTCTGCTATATACACATGAAGTTGAGTCATGGCTTGTCCAAGTATTTTAAACTATCAAGGGGACATCTTTGTATGTGTTGATGTTTTATATACCGACATACCTGGGAGATACTGTGGGTTTGCTTCCAAACCAGCATAATACAGCAAACACCGCAGTAAAGCAAGTCACAGGTTTTTTGGTTTCCCAATGCATATAAAAGTTACATTAATACTATACGGCAGTCTCTTGAGTGTGCAATAGTATAAAATGTATATACCTTAGTTTAAAAATACTTTTTTTTTTTTTTTGAGTTGGAATCTTGCTTTGTCGCCAGGCTGGAGTACAGTGGTGTGGTCATGGCTCACTGCAACCTCTGCCTCCCGGGTTCAAGCGGTTATCCTGCCTCAGGTATGCACCACCGCACCCGGCTAATTTTTGTATTTTCAGTAGAGGTGGCGTTTCACCATGTTAGCCAGGCTGGTCTCAAACTCCTGACCTCAGGTGATCTGCCTGCCTCAGCCTCCCAAAGTGCTGGGATTACAGGCATGAGTCATCGTGCCTGGCCAAAAAATACTTTATTTTTTTGCTAAAAAATGCTTCTGATCTCTGAGCCTTCAGTAAATTATAATCTTTTTGCTGGTGAAGGGTCTTGCCTTGATGTCGATGGCCACTGACTAATCAGGGTGGTGACTGCTGAAGGTTGGTGTGACTGTGGCAGTTTCTTAATATAAGACAACGTGGCCTGGTGCAGTGGCTCACACCTGTAATCCCAGCACTTTGGGAAGCAGAGCCAGGTGGATTGACTGAGTTTGAGACCAGCCTGGCCAGCATGGTGAAACACTGTCTCTACTAAAAATACAAAAATTAACCAGGCTTGGTTGCAGTCACCTGTAATCCCAGCTACTTGGGAATGTGACGCTGGAGAATCACTTGAACCTGGGAGGTGGAGGTTGCAGTGAGCCAAGATCGTGCTGTTGCACTCCAACCTGGATAATGGAGCAAGACTCCATCTCAAAAAAAAAAAGACAATAGACTGGCTCAGTGGCATATGTCTGTAATCCCAGTACTTTTGGGGGCCAAGGCAGGCAGATCAGTTGAGCTCAGGATTTCGAGGCCAGCCCGGGCAACATGGTGAAAATCCCATCTCCACAAAAAAATACAAAAATTAGCTGGGCATGGTGGTGCATACCTGTAGTTCCAGCTTCTTGGGAAGCTGAGGTGAGAGGATCACTTGAGCCCAGGAGGTCAAGGGTGCAGTAAACTATGATTGCACCACTGCACTCCAGCCTGGGTGACAGTGAGGCCTTGTTTTGCAAATAAATAAAGGCAACAGAAGTTTGCCATGTTGATGGATTCTTTCTTTTATGAAAGATTTCTGTGTATCATGACATGCTGTTTGATAGCATTTTACCTACAGTAGAATTCTTTCAATATTGAAGTCAGCCCTCTCAAACCCTGCTACTGCCCTATCAACCAAGTTTATGTAATATCCTAAATCCTTTGTTGTCATTCAACAATGATCATAGCATCTTCACCAGGAGTAGATTCCATTTCAGGAAACCACTTGGCCAGGCACGATGGCTTGTACCTGTAATGCCAGCACTTTGGGAGGCCGAGGCAAGTGGATCATGTGAGGTCAGGAGTTCGAGACCAGCCTGACCAATATGGTGAAACACCATCGCTATTAAAAATACAACAGTTAGCCAGGCGTGGCGGTACATGCCTGTAGTCCCAGCTGCTTGGGAGGCTGAGATAGGAGAATTGCCTGAACCTGGGAGCTGGAGTTTGCAGTGATCTGACATCAAGCCACTGTACTCTAGCTTGGGTGACACAGCAAGACTCTTTCTCAAAAAGGGGGAAAAAACCCACTTTGCTCATTTTTAAGAAGCAGCTCCACATCTGTTCGCGTTTTGTTATGAGGTTGCAGCATTCAGTCCCATCTTCAGGCTCTACTTCTGATTCTCATTTTCTTGCAGTGTCCACCATATTTGTACTTACTTCCTTCACTGAAGTCTTGTGCCACTCAAAGTCATCCATGAGGGTTGGAATCAACTTCTTCCAAACTTCTGTTAATGTTGATATTTTGACCTCCTCCCACAAATCATGAATGTTCTTAATGACATCTAGAATGGTGATCTTTTCCAGAAGGTTTTTCAATTTACTTGCACATATCCATCAGAGGAATCACCGTCTATGGCAGCTATAGCCTTACAAAATGTATTTTTTTATCTTTATTTTTATTTATTTATTTATTTATTTTTTGAGACGGAGTTTCGCTCTTGTTACTCAGGCTGGAGTCCAATGGCGCGATCTCGGCTCACCGCAACCTGCCTCCTGGGTTCAGGCAATTCTCCTGCCTCAGCCTCCTGAGTAGCTGGGATTACAGGCACGCACCACCATGCCCAGCTAATTTTTTGTATTTTTAGTAGAGACGGGGTTTCACCATGTTGACCTGGATGGTCTCAATCTCTTGACCTCGTGATCCACCCGCCTCAGCCTCCCAAAGTGCTGGGATTACAGGCATGAGCCACTGCGCCCGGCCATTTTTTTATTTTTATTATTAGAGATGGGGTCTCACTATGTTACTCAAGTGATCCTCCTATCTCAGCCTCCTGAGTAGCTGGTACTGCAGGTGCACACCACCATGTCAGGCTGTATTTCTTAAATAATAATACTTGAAAGTGGAAATTACTCTTTGATCCATAGCTACAGAATGGATTTTATGTTAGTAGGCATGAAAACAATATAGTTTTTTTTGAGACAGAGTCTCAGTCTGTCACCCAGGCTGAGATACAGTGGTGCAGTCTCGCCTTATTGCAACCTCTGCCTCCCAGGTTCAAATGATTCTCTTGCCTCAGCCTCCTGAGTAGCTGGGATTACAGGCATGCACCACCACACCTGGCTAATTTTTTGTATTTATATTAGAGATGGGGGTTTCATCATGTTGGCCAGGCTGGTCTTGAACTCCTGGCCTCAAGTGATCTGCCTGCTTCAGCCTCCCAAAGTGCTGGGTTTACAGGTGTGAGCCACTGTGCAGAGCTGAAAACAATATTAATTTCCATCATATCCATCAGAGCTCCTAGGTGACCAGGAGTATTGTCAATGAGCAGTGATATTTTAAAAGGATTTCTTATTAAAAGAGCAGTAGTATTAAAAAGGATCTTTGTCCTGAGCAGCAAGTCTCAACAATGATCTTAAAATATTTGATAAACCTTGCTGTAAACAGATATGCTGTCATCCAGGCTGTGTTCCATTTCTAGAGCTCAGGCAGAATAGATTTAGCATCATTCTTAAGGGCCCTAGGATTTTTGAGTATTGTTTCTACTTAAAGTCACTTGCTGCAGTAGCATGTAACAGAAGAGTCAGCTTGTCCTTTGAAGCTTTGAAGCTAGGCATTGACTTTTCCTCTCTAGCTAAGAAAGTCCTAAGTGGCGTCATCTTCTAATATAAGGCTATTTCGTCTACATGGAAAATTTGTTATTTGATGTAGTCATCTTCATCAGTGGTCTTAGCTAGATCTTCCAGATAACTTGCTGCAGCTTCTATGTCAGCACTTGCTGCTTAACCTTGCACTTTTAAATTATGGAGCCAGCTTATTTCCTTAAAATATTTGTTGTTTGTTTGTGATGGAGTAGTCCACTGCACCTGTCCTTTCTTTTAAAACTTAATGAACCAACCTCTGCTAGCTTCGGACTTTCTTTTGCAGCTACCTCTTCTCTCTCAGCCTTTATAGAGTTGAAGAAAGTTAGGGCTTGCTCGGAATTAGGCTTTGGCTTAAGGGATCGTGTGGCTGGTTTGACGGTCTATGTAGATTACTAAAACTTTCTTCGCATCAGCAGTAAGCCTGTTTCATTTTCTTATTATTCATGTGTTCACTGGAATAGCACTTCCAATTTTCTTCAGGAACTTTCCTTTGCATTTACAACTCAGCTATTGTTTGGTACAAGAGGCCTAGCTTTCGGCTTATCTCGGCTTTCAACATACCTTCTTCACTACGCTTAACCATTTTTAGCCTTTGATTTAAAGTGAGAGATGTGCCACTCTTCCTTTTACTTGAACACTTAAGAGTCTCTTATAGGGTTAATTGGCTTAATTTTAATATTGTTGTGTCTCAGGGAATAGGGATCACTGAGAGGGAGAAAGACGGGAATGGCTGGTTGGTGGAGTAGTCAGAACACATAAAACATTTATAGATTAAGTTCACCATCTTATATGGGCAATTTTGTGGTGCCCCAAAACAATTACAGTAGTAAGTTCAGAGATTACAGATCATAGTAACAGATATCATAGTAATGAAAAAGTTTGAAATCTTGTGAGAATTACCAAAATGTGAGCCAGAAACATGAAATGAGCATATGCTTTTGGCAAAGTGGCACCAATAATAGACTTAATACATGGTTGCTGGAAATCTTTACTTGTAAAAAATGCACTATCTATAAAGCGCAATAAAATGAGGTATGCCTGCATAAGCTTTGTACTTTTTTACTTAGTTCTAGTAACAAGTGCAGTAAATGTGGACTCTTACTTTAGTGTATTTTTTTTGGTCAGTCTAACTGATTTCAGTTTGAGTTATGTTTTTTTTTTTGTTGTTGTTATTTATTATGTGTCTTTCTGTATAGTTTCTCATCACTACAGGAGAAAATCTAGATTACCTTGATGGTGTCCATACAGTGTTTGGTGAGGTGACAGAAGGAATGGACATAATTAAGAAAATTAATGAGACCTTTGTTGACAAGGACTTTGTACCATATCAGGATATCAGGTGTGGTTACAGTTTACTATCTGAATGTACTAGAATGTTTCCATACTGAGATGTTTGACACATAGTGGTATGGATAGGAACAGTATGCATAGGACTGGTTTCTGGATAATTCTAATTCCAAACGGTGAATTAATATAAGACTATAAGAATCTTTGTAATAAAAAGAATCTTTTGTATTTTTATATTTATACTAATTATTTATTTATAATTATTTATGTTTGGAGGAATTATTAATGCTTTAATTTAGTTTTTTAATTGAGAAATAGGGCAAAAGTACTAAGATTTAGACAGTTATTTTAGTTTACATCTTAAAGTAATGCAGGGTAATGAATATGGTATCACTCAATGCAGAACAGTAACACTCATTGTGAAAGTATATCTAGGTTAGTAATATCCATGTGCAATACGGGTTTTTTTGGCATTAGAGATAATCAAGTAATTTGTTGTAATCTAATAAAATATGGATTCTGAAATAACTTAAATGTAACATTTGACTTGGATTTATTTTGTAAGGATAAATCACACGGTGATTTTAGATGATCCATTTGATGACCCTCCTGATTTATTAATCCCTGATCGATCACCAGAACCTACAAGGGAACAATTAGATGTAAGTAAAACCCCCTTGTCATTAAATGTACATTCATATTAATGGTTTGTATGGATTTATCTTTTTCATCTATTAAAGTTAATTTTTTCAGAATTATTATTTTGCTTAATTATACTAGAACAAGTTGAGAGTTCTTTTTCTCTTCCACAGAGATACTAATTTTTCTAGCTATCTTCTCATTTTCCTAATTTCCTTTCTTCAGTTTCTTTTCTGGGACAACCTCAGTTCTAGAAGCTTACATGAACACCTTAGGAAGTGTTTTTCTTGTCATCTAACTAATTTAGGAGTTTTTGAGGCCAAATTAAACTGTCATCTTGTGAGGTAACTTTTCAACTGGGGATACTCTGGAGCCAGGCTAGAACCCAGAAATCTCTGTGGAACAGCACAGACTTTCCCCCAACATATTTTAACATATAAATTTCTGTTTGTGAGGCTTCCTCAAAACTGAATTTGTCTTTATGTTTGGGATTGGTGCTTAATTCTAAGATTATTTCTCTTCATTCAGCAGTTAGAATTGGATAATAGTGTCCATATAAATAGTTATTTTGATTTTTTTTTTTTGAGACAGAGTCTCAGCTCTGTTTCTCAGGCTGTAGTACAGTGGCTCACTGCTACCTTGGCCTCCCTTGCTACCTCGGCCTCCCTTGTTCAAGTGATTCTCGTGTGCCTTAGCCTCCTGAGTAGCTGGGATTATAAGCACGTGCCACCATGCCTGGCTAATTTTTGTATTTTTAGTAGGGACAGAATTTCACCATATTGGCCAGGCTTGTCTCAAACTCCTGACTTCAAGTGATCCACCTTCCTCAGCCTCCCAAAGTGCTGGGATTATAGGCATGAGCCACTGCGCCTGGCCTACTTTGATTTTAACAGAAGCCCACTTTGCTAATACTTTAGAATTAATTTAAATCAATTTTGGAGGTTTATAAGTTTGTCTCAGTGGCTGTTTAATTATTAAAATTTTTTTAAAAGATAGGATCTCATGCTGTCACCCAGGCTGGAGTGCAGTGGTGTGATTGTAGCTCACTGCAGCCTTGATCAGTTGCTGTTTCATCATATTTGATATAACTAAGAATAAAGTATGTCTTCCGTGTTTCTCAGATTTTTTTTAAAATTCTTTAAATATATACATCAGTAACTTCTGCATTACAGAGTGGTCGAATAGGAGCAGATGAAGAAATTGATGATTTCAAAGGACGATCAGCTGAGGAAGTAGAAGAAATAAAAGCAGAAAAAGAGGCTAAAACTCAGGCTATACTTTTAGAGATGGTAAGATAATTGTCTTTGTTCAAATAATTGTTCTGTAATATATTTAATAATACTAATTGAGTGTTTATTTCTGACTCTTTAGTAGTCTTAAAATATTAAAAATTTAGTTAGGATTTTTTTTCTGGTTTAAATTAGGTATGGCATAATAATGCAGATGAAAATAAATTTGGCTGTACTGTCAATATAGTGCTAAGTGCCTTTTTAAACAATGGGAAGTGGATCTCTAACTTATTAATTGAATTTTAGTTGTTTAATATTCATCTCATTTTTAAAGCGTGTTTAGTGGGCTGAATTTCATGTATATTAAAGAATAGCTCTTCATTGTACCACGCAGGTGTTAAGATTAAATAGAATGGTAGTTGTAGGGGAAAATAATGGGTGGAAACTGAGCACTCCAAAATACATTCTCCGTATAACTAACAACACAAAGTCATTTGAGGAACAATAATTCAGTAGATGATTAATTGACCTACTTGCTATTATTTTCCATTTCTTATTTTTGTAGAATGGACATACCTGTCATATCATAGATAATAAATATTTTAATGAATAGATAATAAAGTTTTTATTATTATTTTATATAATACAACTTTCAGATTTGTAGTCTGTTTTAAAGTTTATTTATTTAATTATTATTTTTTAGAGACAGGGTGTCACTCTGTTTCTCTGGCTTGCGTACAGCAATATGACCATAGCTCGCTGCAGCCTCCAACTCCTCAGCTCAAGCTTTGTCCCTGCCTCAGCCTCCTGAGTTGCTGAGACCACAGTTGCCCACCACCATGCTCTGCTAATTTTTAAATTTTTTGGTAGGGACAGGATCTCGTTGTGTTGCCCAGGCTTAAGTTTCTATTACTATCACCTGTCTGAATGAACAAATAGTAAAGGCTATAGTTCAAGAAAGCTTTACTGAAATTAAAAAAAAAAGAAAATATACATTTTAATGAGCACACTGTGTATCTCAGAGTATTGACCCTGAACAACTATCACCAAGACAAATCCTAAGCGAATTACTAAACTTGAAAGAAAGATATGTTGAGCAACTCGGCAGAAACAGTGAGTTACTTATAAGGGAATGAGTTTAGATTGTTATCAGACTTTGCAACAACAACACTTTGGAAATTTATGCCAGAAGAAAATAGATTAACATACTTTTAAAAACTTGTTTTCATGTAGTTTCAAATTTATGGAAAAAAGTACATAGAACTTCTGTATACCTTTTACCCAACTTCACCAGTCTTTAACATTTTGCTACATTTGTTTTATGATTCTCTCTTTTTCTGTCTCTGATTATTCAAGCACATAAACACACATATTTTTTTCTGGACTATTTGACAGTAAGTTGCCTATCATTTCCCTTTACGGCTTAATCAGTGTGTATTTCCTAAGAGCAACAGTATTCGATGTGTATAATAATATATACATTTTCACAGTGTAGTTACCAAAATCAGAAAATGTAAAAGTGACAGAAATTAGTTTATATTCCAATTTTGACAGTTGTTTTAATAATATCCTTTTATAATCATTTCCTCCTTTAGACTAGAATCCAGCTCATGACTTATCATCTGTTGCATTTATTTTATAGAATATTTTTCTTTGCTTTTTTTTTTTTTTCAGATGTTGTCTTGCTCTGTTGCTCAGGCTGGAGGGCAATGGCGCGATCTCGGCTCACTGCAACCTCCACCTCCCAGGATTAAGCGAGTCTCCTGTCTCAGCCTCCTGGGTAGCTGGGATTACAGGGGCCTGCCACCACACCCAGCTAATTTTTGTATTTTTAGTAGAGATGGGGTTTCACCACACTGGCCAGGCTGGTCTCAAACTCCGACCTCAGGTGATCCACCTGGCTCAGCCTCCCAAAATGCTGGGATTATAGGTGTGAACCACTGCATCCGGCCAATAGAATATTTTTCAATTTAGGATTATCTACTCTTGCCTCATGATTAGATTCAAGTTATGCACCCACAGCCAAAATTGTACATGAGTGATGTTCTGTCCTTCTCAGATATCACATCTGGAGGTGTACAATATTCATCATTTCCTCGATGGTAATTTTGGTTACTTGGTCATGGTAATCCACTGCCCAGTGTCTCCAATAGATAATCTGTGGCTAGACGCTTTGAGATATTTCAAGTATCTTGTTCCTTGTCAAATTTCCCCCATAAATTTCTCAGCCATTCGTGATTCCTGACTGCACGTCTTGACTCTGGTTAAGTGCAAATTGGTAATTTCCCAACTCCACCACTCCTTAAACAATTACCAGCCTGCATTCTACTGTAAGAAGAGCCCTCCCTTCTTGTTTTTGAGAGGGAGTCTCTGTCTGTCACCCAGGCTGGAGTGCAATGGCGCGATCTCTGCTCACTGCAACATCTGCCTCCTGGGTTCTAGCAATTCTCCTGAGTAGTTGGGATTATAAGCACCTGCCTGCCACCACACCCGACTAATTTTTATATTTTTAGTGGAGACGAGGTTTCACCATGTTGGTTAGGCTGGTCTCGATCTCCTGACCTTGTGATCCGCCTGCCTCAGCCTCCCAAAATGCTGGGATTACAGGCATGAGCCACCTTGCCTGGCTGAGCCCTCCCTTCTTAACTCTTATCTATCTATTTATTATCAGTGTTGACTCATGGATTCCTTTTTTGGTTTTGCTTTTAATAAAGAGACAATTTTAGAGCAATTTTAGGATTACAGAAAAGTTGAATAGAAAGTACAGAGAATTTCTATGTACTTCCTCTGTCCCTTATTCTTGCATTATTGTGATATATTTGTTAACAATTGATGAGCCAATATTGATACATTATTAACTAAAATTTATGGTATACTTTAGAATTCAAGCTTTGTGTTGTACATTCTGTGGAACTGACAGATATATGATAACATGTATCTACCCTTACAGGATCATACAGGGTAGTTTCACTGAGAAATCCCCTGGGCTCTTCCAGCTCATCTCTACCCCTATCACCCAGTTTTTGGCAACTACTGATGTTTTTACTGCCTATATAGTTTTGGCATTTTCAAAGTATCATATAGTTGGAATCATAGAGTATGTAGCCTTTTCAGACTGTCTTCTTTCACTTAGCAGTATGCATTTAAGGTTCCACTATTCCTTCATTCCTTCGTTCCCTCCCTCCCTCCCTCCCTCCATCCCTCCCTCCCTCCTTCCCTCCTTCTTCTCCTTTCTTCGCCTTTTTCTTTTCCTTCCTTCACTCCCATTCTTCCTTTTTTTTTTTTTTTGAGACAGGTTCTTGCTCTGTTGCACGAACTGGAGTGCAGTGGTGCAATAATGGCTCACAGCACCCTGACTTCCCAGGCTCAAGTAATCCTCGTACCTCAGCCTCCCAAGTAGCTGGAACCAAAGGCGTGTGCCACCATGTGTGGCTAATTTTATTTTTTTGTAGAGACACTCTCACTCTGTTGCCCACCTGGGATTTCATTTCTTTTTTTTTTTTTTTTTTTTTGAGACAAAGTCTCTCTCTGTCACCCAGGCTAGAGTGCAGTGGTGCTATCATAGCTTACTATAACCTTGAACTTCTGAGCTCAAGCAGTCTTTCTGCCTCAGCCTCTTGAATAGCTGGGACTGTAGGCACACACCACCACACCCAGCTATTTTTTTGTAGAGATGGAGTCTCCCCTATGTTGCCCAGGCTGATCCTGAAATCCTAGGTTCAAGTGATCCTCCTGCCATGGCTTCCCAAAGTGTTGGGATTACAGGAAGGAGCCACCATACATGGCTGATAACTCATTTCTTTTCATTGCTAAGTAATATTTAATTGTATGGATGTATCACAGCTTGTTTATTTTTTACCTAGTAAAAGACACCTTGTTTTTTCCCCAAGTTTTGGCAATTGTGAATAAAGCTGCTGTGAACATTTGCATGCAGATTTTTTGTGTAGGCATGAAGTTTCAATGCATTTCAGTAAATACCTAGGTAAACTCCTAGTTCAGGTGCTGGATCGAATGATTTCACTTTGTAAGAAACTGCCAAACTGTCTTCCAAAGTGGCTTTACATTTTACACTCCTACCAGCAATGAATGAGTTTCTTTTGCCTCACATCCTTGCCAGCATTTGGTGGTGGTATTGTTTTGGATTTTAGTCATTCTAAAAGGTGATTCTTTGTCCTTTTGATTTTTATTAACATGTTTCATCTTCTCTTTTCTAAGAACATCTGTTTCTCTTACTTTATTTGCATTTGTTTGTAATGCAGTGATAATTCAGCTAGTGTTTTTTTTTTTTTTTTTTTTTTTTGAGGTAGAGTCTTGCTCTATCACCCAGACTGGAGTGCAGTGGCATGATCTCGGCTTGCTGCAACCTCCGCCTCCCAGCTTCAAGCGGCTCTCTTGCCTCAGCCTCCCAAATACTTGGATTACAGATGCATGCCACCATGCCTGGCTAATTTTTGTATTTTTTGTAGAGACGGGGTTTCACCATGTTGGTCAGGTTGGTTACCAGCCTCAGCTAGTGTTTTGCAAAATCAGTTTTGAACCTCATAGCTTTTATAAATGTTTGAAATTTCCCAATAATATTTTAAAGTTAGCTTTGACTAATTAGTATAGCAACCTCTTTTTTGACTCATTAACTTTTTTCTCATGTGTACATTCTTTCTGCCATTATAGGTGCTTTGGAGGATTTTTCCTAATTTGCTCTTCTTTTTCTGTGTTTTGATACTCTTTCTTTTTTTCTTTTTTAGAGGCAGGATCTCACTCTGTTTCCTAGGCTGGAGTACAGTGGTGTGATCATAGCTTACTGCTGCCTCAAAATCTCCAGGACCCAAGTGTCCACCCAACTTTCTGAGTAGCTAGAACTACTCACACTGCCATGCCTGGCTAATTTTTAAATTGACTATAGAGACAAGGTCTTAGTATGTTGTTTGGGTTGGTCTCAAATTCCTGGTTTCAAGTGATCCTCCCACCACAGCCTCCCAAAGTGTTGGTATTACAGGCGTGAACTATCATGCCTGGCTGATACTTTTTATTGGACATAATGTTGTCTTTGATAGACTTCAGAATCATTGAGCAGATCTTACTGGCTCTGTTGCTTGTCAATTTTTATTTTCGAGATTTTGGGGGGAAGGATGTATATATTCAACAGGATACTCTTTGCAGGTGATCTTTTCAGAAATCATCTGTGAGTGTTTGAATATATGTATAAAGGAATATTATTGCCCTATCTAAGGCAATACTGTTGGGAAATACAGTTTTCCCATAATAAGACCAATACCATCATCATGGTTCTCTTTTACTGTCACCCTCAGTGGTTCTTCGGTAGGAAGTGACATGCTGTGTTTATTGTCCTAGTTGATTGTGAAGTTGACTTTAGTTTGGCTGAAGTAGAAGGCCAAAGGGTGAGTATTAAGAGACAAAAGCTAGAAACATTATCCAGGAATTGTTACTATTCCATATTGAACAATAATGTGGAAAGAATTGGGCATTACAAACCACAGAAGCCTAGCTTCAGTATGATTATATTTTTCAAAAGTTCAAAAACAAGCAAAACTAAACAATATATTGCATAGAGTTGCATGCATATGTGGCAAAATTCTGATGATATACAAAGAAGTGACTAAAAAGGAAAACCAAAAAGCAGGGTACTCATTGTCTGATGCGGAGGCAGCGGGAGAATGGGATCAGGTGACGTTTTAGTTCTTAAGCTAGGTTCTAGCGTCATAGAAATTTTTATTTTTAATGCTTTATTACTTACATGTACTTTACATAAATTCTTATCCTTTAAAAAATGTATCAAATACTTGAAGAAAGGAATAGTACGGGTAAAATTGGGCTTTGAAGACAGAACAATCTAGGTTCAAATCCCAGCACTGTTTACCACTGTGTGGCCTTGGGCAAGTTACTTGTTTAACTTTTTAAAATTTCACTTTACTTGTCTTCATTTCATTTACTTATTTATTTATTTATTATATTTATTTATATTTAAGATGGAATCTCAATCTCTGTCACCCAGGCTGGAGTGCAGTGTTATGTTATCTCAGCTCACTGCAACCTCTGCCTCCTGGGTTTAAGCGATTCTCCTGCCTCAGTGCCCCTAATAACTAGGACTACAGGTGCACACCACCACGCTCATCTAATTTTTGTGTTTTTAGTAGAGACAGGGTTTTACCAGGTTGCCCAGGCTGGTCTTGAACTCCTAACCTCAAGTGATCTACCCCTCCCTTGGCCTCCCAAAGTGCTGGGTTTACAGGCATGAGCCACCGCGCTCAGCCACTTTACTGTCTTTAAAATGGAAATTGCAGGATTGTTTAAAAAATTAGTGTGATATATCTGAAGTCCCAAGCAATATTCACACAAAGTATGAGTTATGCAAATATTAGCTATTAATCTTGTTAAGAATAGGAACAGTATAGTTCAAATTTTGAAATCTTATTTGGATTTCTTTTCCAGAGCCTGGAGTGTATGATATAAACTTAGATGTTTTAAGGAAATCAGTATTGTGGGGATTGGATAAGATTTAGAATGGAAACTAAACAGGAATGGATTTATGTTTTTGTTTCTTTATGATTTAGGTGGGAGACCTACCTGATGCAGATATTAAACCTCCAGAAAATGTGCTGTTTGTATGTAAATTGAACCCAGTGACCACAGATGAGGATCTGGAAATAATATTCTCTAGATTTGGGCCAATAAGAAGGTAATCATTAGAATTAGTGAAAAAGAAATTTGGAAAAAAGAGGTATTAGTTGGTGGCTTTCTAATGACAAATATTGATGATTCTGTGAATTCTAGGTGAATTTTGTACTGGTGAATTTTTCAATTTTTTTTTTTTTTCTATACTGGTAAATTTTTACAGGTGAGTCTTTGGACAGTAGGGAAGAAAAGTATATATGTGTGTGTGTACATACATATATACACACACATATAGAGGTAAATAGTTGAATCTCCCACTCCCCACAGATTTTCACTCTAAAACAGGAAATGAAAGGAACAATTTAAATCTAGTTTTGTAATATGCGTTAACAGCCTTCTTTAATATTTAAAATATTTATCTCATTTAACTTCTAGAATCAACAGCAATTTATGTCAAAATTAATTTAAAACTAAATTTTCCAAAATTTTTCTTTTGGCTAATTTTCCCTGCATAAATGAAAAAGTCTGTGAAACTACTATGTCTGTGAGGAAGGGGACTATTTTGTCATTGATTAAAAAGTATCATATGTAGGGTTTCCTTTCATTTCAGGTTTTTAAAATGAGATTTATGACACTTGGGGAAAGGGACAAGCCAGGTGCTTTCAACTCCAGCTTATTGGCCTTTTCACTTGGTTATTATGGTATATTCGTTTTGTAATTAACATTGTACTTACAGTGTTAAATTTGAGCTATTAATTTGACTATTAAAAATCAAAAATTTCTTGGGAGGCTGAGGTGAGTGGATCACGAGGTCAAGAGATCGAGACCATCCTGGTCAACATGGTGAAACCCCGTCTCTACTAAAAATATAAAAAATTAGCTGGGCATGGTGGCGCGTGCCTGTAATCCCAGCTACTCAGGAGGCTGAGGCAGGAGAATTGCCTGAACCCAGGAGGCAGAGGTTGCGGTGAGCCAAGATCGCGCCATTGCACTCCAGCCTGGGTAACAAGAGCAAAACTCCGTCTCAAAAAAAAAAAATAAAAAATTTCAGAGCTTAAACTTACTATAACATATGTATGAAGATGCATACATTATTCTAAAGTAATATTAGCTATTCTATAATTCATCTATATTTGGACTAGAAAGTGTTATGATTTAAAAAATCTTTAGCAGTTTCATTTTGCCAAATGAAAATGAAATATTTTTATTTTTCCTTCAGTGCTTAAGGGAATTTAGGACTGTAGGCCTGCATAGGGCATTTAGAGTAGAATTCAGATAATTTAGTTACTGGTTTGGTGAACTGTTTTTTAAAAAAGAATTGTTATTAAAGAAATTTGGAAAAAAATCTATGAATTTAACTTTGCCTTGTAATAACTGACTTATTTCCTCTTAAGTTTTGAAGAATGAGAGTGAATGCTTTCTCCCTGACCCCCCACTTTTTTTTTTAAGTCACTTTAAAATACTTTCTTTCAGTTGTGAAGTTATCCGGGACTGGAAGACAGGAGAGTCCCTCTGTTACGCTTTTATTGAATTTGAAAAGGTATGTCATAATACAGGCATAAGTTTGGTATTTGTTTGCTTTTATATGATATTAAAATATGAAAAATTGTAGAACTTTTTCTAGTTTCTAGAACTGCCCTTTCTTTTGGCACTCCTCAAAATTAACTTTATTGTATTTATACAGGGGATAAATCTAACGTCTGTTGATGTTAATATCCATACTTTTACTTTAGGTTCAGGTGCAATCTGCATAAAAGTATCTTTAGAACTTTTTCTGAGACAGGGTCTTGCTCTGTCACCCAGGATGGAATGCAATGGCCTAGTCTTGGCTCACTGCAACCTTCACCTCCTGGGTTCAAGAGATTCTTCTGCCTCAGCATCCTGAGTAGCTGGGATTATAGGTGCCCATCACCATGGCCTGCTAATTTTTTTTGTATTTTTAGTAGAGATGTGGTGTCACTGTATTGGCCAGGCTGTTCTTGAACTCCTGACCTCAAGAGATCTGCCGCCTTGGCCTCCCAAAGTGCTGGGATTACAGGCATGAGCCATTGCAGCCAGCCAGTCTTTAGAACTAGGTACAGGCCTTCATGGACTCTTTTTTTTGAGGCAGAGTCTTGCTCTGTCACCCAGACTGGAGGGCAGTGGCGCAATCTTGGCTCATTACAACCTCTGCCCCTCAGGTTCAAGTGATTCTTCTGCTTCAGCCTCCTGAGTAGCTGGGATTACAGGTGTGCATCACTGTGCCCGGCTAATTTTTGTACTTTTAGTACAGACGGGGTTTCACCATGTTGGTCAGGCTGGTCTCGAACTCCTGACCTAGTGATCTGCCTGCCTCACCCTCTCAAAGTGCTGGGATTACAGGTGTGAGCCACCGCTCCCGGCCTCATAGACTCTTAATAATTTTTCCCTGTTACTTAAGTGGAGATAAAAGTGAATAATAGAAATAATGTCACCAGCTAGCTATTGTATGATACTCGGCAGTTTAGTTAACCCTTCTTTCTAGGTCTTACCTTCCTATAAATAAAACTTGGGTATTAGATTAGATGGTCCCTTCTTGAGCTGTAATAATGATGATAGCTTATGTTGCTAGGCATTATGTTACTTTTGCTGCATTTAATCCTCACAGTTCTATAAGAGAGGGACCATTCGCTTTACCAAATAAGTTCACTGAGACACATAATGCTAATGTGACTTGTTCAAAATCACACACCTAGTAAATGAAAGTCATAGCTAGGATTTGGACTCAGATATGTCTGATTCTGTTCCCATTGAGTTTACATTATGCTATGGTATACTGTTTTTTAATGCAACTTCAGACTAATATGTATCCAATAGTAGCTCATTCTAAGTTCTAATTATTAAGCATTTATGGAATACCTTTTATGTTTTCAGACACAGCAATAAGGCTTAGGGATACAAGATAAATCATGGAGAGTTGAGGAAGATAGACACATAAAGATATACATAGGCACTGTGTACCAGAAATGATACTTACAAGGTACACTGGTGCCAGCAGAAAGACCTTTACCTTTGGTTTGTTGTGAAAACTTGTAGACCTGCATTAGCATTCATTCATTGACACTATAGAATCTATTATTTATTTCCTCACAAAGAAAATTTTATTTCATTTGTAGCAAATAGGCTAATGACTGCCCATGTTTTTCAGTTTTCTGGAGCTATACCATTTTTTTTCCTTTTTCTTTTTGTGAGACAGTTTTGCTCTGTCGCCCAGGCTGGAGTGCAGTGGCATGATCTCAGCTCGCTGCAACCTCCACCTCCCAGTTTCAAGCAATTCTTTTGCCTCAGGCTCCCAAGTAGCTGGTATTACAGATGTGTGTCGCTACACCTGGCTCATTTTAATATTTTTAGTAGATAGGGGGTTTCATAATTTTGGCCAGGCTGGTCTTGAACTCCTGACCTCAAGTGATCCACCTGCCTTGGCCTCCTAAAGTACTGGAATTATAGGCATGAACCGCTGTACCCGCTGTTTTGATTTTTTTATTGCTCTCTAAGGATTCTTTATATTTTCTGGAGGCAAGCTTTTTGTTGTTGTTGTTTAGATGTGATACAGATATCTCTGCTCTGTGATTTCCTTTTACTTTCTTTTTTTTTGAGATGAAGTTTTGCTCTTGTTGCCTAGGCTGGAGTGCAATGGTGTGATCTTGGCTCACTGCAACCTCTGCCTCCCAGGTTCAAGCAATTCTCCTGCCTCAGCCTCCCAAGTGGCTGGAATTACAGGCACGCATCACCACACCCAGCTAATTTTGTATTTTTAGTAGAGATGCTGTTTCTCCATGTTGATCAGGCTGGTCTTGAACTCCCGACCTCAAGTAATCCACGCATCTCTGCCTCCCAAAGTGCTGGGATTACAGGCGTGAGCCACTGCATGCAGCCTCCTTTTTTTTGGGGGGGGGGGAGGAAGGCAGGAAGGGAGGGAAGAAGGACAGTAGGGAGGAAGGAAGGGATGAAGGAAGGAAGGAAGGGAGGAAGCGGGGAGGGAGGGAGGGAGGGAGGGAAGGGAAGGAAGGAAATCAAGCAATGAGAGAGACATTGCCTACCTGTATCTAGAGGTTTCCAAGTTGATTTCTTTTTTTTTTGAGAGAAGGAAAGAAAAAAAAATAAGTAAAGAAGAGGAAGAAAAAGAGGGAGAGTAAATGGAAATATTGCTTTATTTTGAAAAAAATTGGGTATTAATAATGGCCAATCAATGTTTCATTTAAACTTATGGGTAGGTGTGATGTGGTATTGACAAGAATGTATATTTTGTGTATTTGAAGTGGAGAGCTCTATAAATATTTATTAAGTTTACTTGTTCTGGATCTGAGTTCGAGTCCTTGATATCCTTATTAATTTTCTGTCTCATTGAATCTAAGTCTCTATGTGTCTGGGTGTTAGGATCGTTAGCTCTTATTGTTGCATTGATCCTTTTATCACTATATCTTTGTTGCTTTAAAATCTATTTTATCCGATACAAGATTTGCAACTCCTGCTTTTTATTTATTTATTTATTTATTTTTGCTCTCCATTTGGTTGGTAAATCTTTCTCCATCCCTTTGTTTTGAGTCTTTGTGTATCCTTGCATGTGAAACAGGTCTGGATGTAACATGCCATTGGGTTTTGGCTGTGTCTTTTGATTGGGGGATTTAGTCGATTTAAATTTAGGGTTACTGCCCTTTGATGTTAACTGGCTGTTTTATCCATTCGTTGGTGTAAATTCTTCTTTATGTTGGTGCTCTTTACTTTTTGGTATATTTTTAGAAAGGCTAATACTGGTTGTTTCTTTCTGTGTGTAATGCTTCTTTCAGAAGCTCTTGTAAAGCAGGCCTGGTGGTAATAAAATCTCTGAGTTCTTGCTTGTTCATAAAAGATTTTCTTTTTCCTTCAGTTGTGAAGCTTAGTTTGGCTGGATATGAAATTCTGGGCTGAAGGTTCTGTTCTTTGAGGATGTTGAATATTGGCCCCCACTCTCTTCTGGCTTGTAGAGTTTCTGCTGAGAGATCTGCTGTAAGTCTGATAGGCTTGCCTTTGTGGGTAACCTGACCTTTCTCTCTGGCTGCCCTTAGTATTTTCTCCTTTGTTTCAACCCTGGTGAATCTAACAATTATGTGCCTTGGGGTTGCTCTTCTTGAGGAATATTTTTATGGTGTTCTCTGTATTACCTGGTGTTGAATGTTGACCTGCTTTGCTAGTTTAGAAAAATTTTCCTGAATAATATCCTGAAGGGTATTTTCCAGCTTGGATTCATTCTCTCCGTCGCATTCAGGTACACCTATCAAACGTAAATTTGGTCTTTTCACATAGTCCCACATTTCTTGGAGACTTTGCTCATTCCTTTTTATCCTTTTTTCTCTAATCTTTTTTTCACATTTTATTTCATTAAGTTGGACTTTGACCTCTGATATCCCTTCTTCTGCTTGAACAATTCGAGTGTTTAAACCTGTGCATACTTCTCGGAGTTCCTGTATTGTATTCTTCAGTTCCATTAATTCACTCATACTCCTCTCTAAGTTGTCTATTCTCAATAGGATTTCATCAAACCTTTTTTCAAAGTTCCTAGTTTCTTTACGTTGGGCTACAACATGTTCTTTTAACTCACCGAAGTTTGTTATTATCCATTCCTTGAAGAGTGATTCTGTCATCAGGATGTGCTCGTTCTCCATCAAGCCTTGTTCCATTGTTGATGTGGAACTGTGATCATCTTTAGAGGGAGAGGCGTTCTGACTTTGAGTATTCTCAGCTTTTTTACGCTGGTTTCTTCCCGTCATTGTAAATTTATACTCCTGTCGTCTTTGAATTTACCAACTTTCAGATTAGGTCTCTTGAGTGGATGTCCAGGTTGTTAGTTCCCAGGGCCAGAGCAGCGGCGTTAAAACTAATGGTGCTTTTCTGCCCAGGATTCTCCTGTCTGGCTTCCTTCTTGTGTCCGTAGTAGGCGACTCTGCCTTCCCAGGACTCCAAACCTCGGTCAGAAGGGGAACCAGTCCTGTTTACTCTGCACCGAGCGCTGCCGCGCCTAGGTGCCGTCACAGCCGCTGCGCTGGGCTCTGGTGTCGTGCTGGGGGCCCATGCGGGTCCTCCGAACCTGTTTACTCTGCTCCGAGTGCCACGCTGGGGTGCCGGCGGAACTGCTGCGCCAGCCACGAGAGTCGCGCTGGCCACCCATGTGTTCCCTCCACTGGAGGATCTTCTGCTCCGTGAGCGACCAGAATTTGTCTGAAAGTGTGGCGTCCTCTAGTTCTCCGCGCCTTCCCTGAGAGCTGCAATCTCCGGATGTTAGCAATTGGCCATCTTGGATTGTTCTCTCAGCAGCCTCCTTTTTTTTTCTTCCTTTTTTCTCTTTTTTTAAGGGATAGGATCTCTGTTTTGCCCAGGCTGGATTTTGAACTTGTGGGCTCAAGTCATTCTCCGACTTGAGCCTCCTGAGTAGCCGGGACCACAGGCATGCCTTTTTCCTTTCTTGCTTTTTTTTTGAGACAGAGCCTTGCTCTGTTGCCCAGGCTGGAGTGCAATGGCGCGATCTCAGCTCACCGCAATCCTCTGCCTCCTGGGTTGAAGCAAGTCTTCTGCCTCAGCTTCCCGAGTAGCTGGGACTATAGGTGTCCTCCACCACACCCAGCTAATTTTTGTATTTTTAGTAGAGACAGGGCTTTACCATATTGGCCAGGCTGGACTCCTGACCTTGTGATCTGCCCGCCTCAGCCTCCCAAAGTGCTGGGATTACAGGTGTGAGCTACCACGCCTGGCCCCCTTTTTCCTTTCTTAATGGTGTCTTCTGATAAATAAATTTCTAATTTTAATGGTTCAGTTTGTCAATATTTTTCTTTTTTTAATGGTCTATTTAAGAAATCTTTGCCTACTTCAAAGACTTGAGGATATTCTCCTGTATTATTTTTAGAAGTTATGTTGTGAAATTGTTTTCCATTCAATTCTGTAAAATGCTTTTTGTGTATGTGGATTACATCATTTCATTTTTCTTGGATTGCCAAGCGATGCTCAGCATTAAAAGGTTGTCCTTTTCTCTGAGGTCTCTACTGATGAAAATAATAAAAAAGTTGTCCTGTCCCACAGCTCTGTAATACCACCTTTGTTATAAATCAGGTATCCATATATGTATAAAGTCTGTTTCTAGATGCTATACTGTTGCACTGATATATTTGTCTATTCATATACCACTGTTACATTGTGTTAATCACTGTAGGTTTATAATGTCTTGATAACTTACAGTGTGAGTCTTCTAACTTTGTTATTTTTGAAGATTGTGATAGCTGTTTTTGACTTTTGAATTTTTATATATATATATATATATTTGAATCAATTTCTTAATTTTGAAGAGATTTCTTAACTATTATTTAGGTGTAAGTAAATTGAGTATTTGCAAATACTATCCTCCTGAAAAGTGATCTGAGCACTTTCTCTTTGCAGAAATGGCATGGTTATAGAATTACACTTGCCTGAAAATAATCAGTCAGTTTATTGAAACGTACACTGATTGCCTGCGTTTTAGATACCATGGCTTGTGATGTTCTAAATGATGTAGTTACAAAGATGAATAAAGCTTTGTCTGTATCTTCATGAGTTTATAATTAATTTTATTTTTGACACATGTAATAAATAAATATGATATAACTATTTTATCTTTTTCTCTTTGGATTATCTCTAGTAAGAATAAGTTTCCAGGAATATAAAAGAAAATTGATCAGTGCTAAGTTGAAATATGTTCCTGTCAGTGTCAGAAACAGGGATTTAGAGTTGGGAAGCTACTGACAGGAAGGATTCTTGTGTAGCACAGACCTTGGTATTGCAGGCTCACAGTTTGCTTTCTAAAACCCCTGAGAATAAGCAGACTTCCTAATTTAGAATTTTTCAGAATTCAGAAAGGTAATACTGTGTGTATGCATACACACACATACATATTACATCTGTGATTATGTAATATCCTTCTGGGTCAGCATTTCATAAGCCGTCACAAAAGTATTTCTGGGCCGGGCGCGGTGGCTCACGCTTATAATCCCAGCACTTTGGGAGGCCGAGGTGGGTGGATCACGAGGTCAAGAGATTGAGACCATCCTGGTCAACAAGGTGAAACACCGTCTCTACTAAAAATACAAAAATTAGCTGGGCATGGTGGCGCACGCCTGTAGTCCCAGCTACTTGGGAGGCTGAGGCAGGAGAGTTGCTTGAACCCAGGAGGTGGAGGTTGGGGTGAGCTGAGATTGAGCCATTGCACTCCAGCCTGGCTAACAAGAGCGAAACTGTCTCAAAAAAAAAAAAAAAAAAAAGTATTTCTGCAGTGCAACAAATGAAAATTTATACTAAGAGGATTTTTAAAAAGTCGTAACCTACCATTAGGTCCAATGTTGCTGCTAAATAAATTTTAACACCAAACTTACAAAACAACTTTCACTTTTCAGGATGTTTTTGGATTTTGAGTAAAAAGGATTGTGGGCTGGGCGCGGTGGCTCATGCCTGTAATCCCAGCACTTTGGGAGGCCGAGGCGGGTGGATCACAAGGTCAAGAGATCGAGACCATCCTGGTCAACATGGTGAAACCCCGTCTCTACTAAAAATACAAAAAATAGCTGGGCATGGTGGCGCATGCCTGTAATCCCAGCTACTCAGGAGGCTGAGGCAAGAGAATTGCCTGAACCCAGGAGGCAGAGGTTGCGGTGAGCCGAGATCGCGCCATTACACTCCGGCCTGGGTAACAAGCGTGAAACTCTGTCTCAAAAAAAAAAAAGGATTGTGAACTTGTATAATACAGTCAGTAAGTGTGTATTTATCTGTCTACTGCAGTCCAACTCTTTAAAATTCTCCTCTGACCCTTGCCAACAACTTCCATGCTTCTCTAAATGTCTGTTTTCTCATTGAGAAAATGGAAATAATATTAGATAGTACTTCTGGGGCTGTTACCAGAGTTATTTGAGATAATAGATACAAAGCATTTAACAGCGTCTGGTGTGTAATAAGTATTCAAACATTAGTTTTTGTAATAACAGATTTTTTGTATTTTCAGTATTCTAGCTACAGAAATCTTTTCCATAAAGATTTATGCTTGAGTTTTTATAATTATTATCAGGAAGAAGATTGTGAGAAAGCGTTCTTCAAAATGGACAATGTACTTATAGATGACAGAAGAATACATGTGGATTTTAGCCAGTCTGTTGCAAAGGTTAAATGGAAAGGAAAAGGTATGATAGTTTATCTTCTTTTGTGTTTGTTCTGCTTTCTTTCTTTTTTTTTTTTGTAGGTGGAGGCTCACTCTGTTGCCCAGGCTAGAGTGCAGTGGCGTGATCTTGGCTCACTGCAACCTTTGTCTGTTGGTTCAAGCCATTCTCATGCCTCAACCTCCCAAGTAGCTGGATTACAGGCACCTGCCACCACGGCCAGCTAAGTTTTGTATTTTTAGTAGACAGGGTTTCACCATGTTGGCCAGGCTAGTTTCCAGCTCCTGACCTCAGGTAATTCATTCACCTCGGCCTCCCAAAGTGCTGGGATTACAGGTGAGAGCCACTGCACCTGGCCTTATTTTTGTTCTGCTTTTCATGCTTATCTGAGCCTTTGATTGAGTGCTATTAATTAGGGGAAATATTAATTCATGTAACTTCTGCCATTTATAATTTTGCATACCTGCTGTGTAGAAACTGAGGTAGAGTGTGTTTGTGTGTAGGTATTTTAAACTGAGGAAAAATTATATTTTCTATGTTTGACTGTATTATAAACTACTAATTACCCACTGCAGACATGATATGTTTCCAAAGTAATTATTTTGACTTTATGGTGGTTTGAGTTTTTTAGGTACACAAGTTAAATTTTTTAAAGTTTGTTTTAGTTGTCATATGATGCAAAATAGAAAAGGTCCATGAAAAGTTAGATAAAAGTCTCATTCATTCCTGCTCCTCGTATCTAATTTCTTCTGGGGCAACCATTATTACCTATTGGTACTAATTTTCCTTCCCCTATAGTCTTTGAATATATATCTGCATGCCTATATATATATATGATTTTCTCTTTTTAAAAAGGAAAATACAAAGGATGCAGTCTATACATACTGTTTTTGTACCTTGCATTTTTCACTTAACAGTGTATCTAAGAAATCATTTCATGTGAGTATATAAAATGAACCAGTCCTATTGATAAGTTTTCTAAATGTTTACTCTTTCATGTCCATGGCAGTATGTTTTGCCCCTATACATATTAAATTTCCCATATATACATACACATATGTCAAATAAATTCCTGGTAGCATGTCAGTCTTAAAGTTGGGTCTCTTGTATGTTGAAATAAGTTTTAGGTTTTGGGTTTTTAAAAGGTTTTACTTTGATAGTTACTCACACGTAATGCTAAATTTTACTGGGAATTTTAGGGTTACTTTATTTTTCTATAACACTTATTTCCCATGATTTTAATGAACTTTCTTTTGTCTGTCTTTGGTAAGAAAGAAAAACACTAGTTGTGAATTGCTGAATTGTTTGGTGGATTCTGTTACTTTATGGGAGAGAAGGAAGAAATTATTAATGTGACTAAAGTAGGCAAGGAAGTTGCCATTTGGCAGCAGAGTATCTCTTGTTAGATCTTAAAAGGTCTCTTAAAGTCTCACTTCTTCCAAACCTGGTCTTTCAGATCTTAAACTCAGGTCCCAAATTCTCCGTTTTCCACTTGACTTAATGTCATGGACTCAGTGGCTCTACTTGAACACTACATTTGTGTGTAATTTATTTGAAAGTTTGATGTTGTAATATTCACATATATCGTTAGGTGGCAGCATGTGGCTACCTAGCAAAATGGATATCTGATATCAGTTAAATTAGTAATGGAGATGGAATTACCATGATTCTTTTATTCCCTTTTTCTGTCTCTCGATATATGCGATTCATAAAATAGCTCTTACACCTTTTATAAAATAATTATTGTTCTTGATTAGGTGTTTTTTTTTTTTTTTACTAAGCTCTTTTTTTTTTCTTTTTTTTAATAAATAGGTGGGAAATACACCAAGAGTGATTTCAAGGAATATGAAAAAGAACAAAATAATCCATCTAATTTGGTTCTGAAAGATAAAGTAAAGCCCAAACAGGAGTATCCTTACCAAGAATCAGTTAGTTAATATATGTTGATTATCTGCTATGTGTAGAGTTCTGTGTGATGTGTTATCAAAAGTCACAAAAGCTATAGAAGACAAAGTTCCTGAATCCAGATTGTTTGTGAGGAAGTAACTTAGTTTATCATTATCTCTTTTCTTTTTTTTTAAATTTAAATATTTTTATCATGTCAAAGGACATTTCAGTTCTATCATTATCTCTTTTCAAGATCTTACATATACTTTGCTTTTTCACTATACTCTAGTGTATTGAAAAAGTTAAGGTTGAAAGAAATCTGTAGCCTAATTCTTTTATCAATACCTTCCTACTCTAGGTTAAGTACTTTCCTACTTAGCATATTCTCAGCAGATCTTCAGGTAAGATTTGTATTTTCTTTTTTGGGGGGCTTTCCTACAAAAACTGGAAAATCTGCTAGACAAATTTTAAAAGAGCTGTAACACTAGCTTTGTATTTTCTATATGTAATTTTAACGTTTTATTCCTCATAATCAGAAATTTATTATTGCTAAGCCGAATCCTTTGTGCCACTCTTATGTTTAACTTTCTTATGTAGATAACAAAATCCTATTGTTCTCTGTTACACAATTAGGTTACATCTTTCTATATAGTATGTTATAATTTAAACAACACATGTATTGGGCTTCTACTGAGTGCAAGGGTTCACTTTTGTAGGATTAAAAAGAAATCCATTGACTTGACCATTTACTTCAGGTTCTTCCAAGTTTTAGATTGAGACATGTAAAAAGCAATGAAACATACTGGCTTTTTTTTTTTTTTTTTGCGATGGAGTCTTGCTCTGTCACTAGGCTGGAGTGTAGTGCAATCTCTGCCTCCCAGGTTCAAGCAATTCTCCTGCCTTAGCCTCCTGAGTAGTTGGGACTACAGGTGTGTGCCACCACACCCAGCTAATTTCTATATTTTTAGTAGAGACGGGGTTTCACCATGTTGGCCAGGATCGTCTTGATCTTCTGACCTCGTGATTCGCCTGCCTCGGCCTCCCAAAGTGCTAGGATTACAGGCTTGAGCTACCATACCCAGCCGAAAGATACTGTTTATATTATGACATTTTAATTTGTTCACTAATTTTTCCCATTATAAACATATCACTCTATACATTGCCAAAGTTCTTTCTTTTGTTCTTTCTTTCTGGTAAATGGCGTCTTTGTTTCCTAGTTTCTATTGGTATTTCAGGAATTTTTTTTCCATACATGTTATGTAGATATTTCTTTTCTAAGTACTCATCAAGAAAGATGAGTATCAGGTTGACCTGGTCTATATTCATGTTTTAGGATGTGTTGACTGTCTACAATGCATAAAGCATTGCGAGGTGTTAGAGCTGGATAAAGTGAAGGAAGCTGATAAAATCAGCATGAGGAGAGGCTTTCACATGCAGACAGACCAAACAAGAAACTGGGATTTGGTCTGAAAATATTAACAGAATAATATAAAATATTAGCATATGATTGAAAGCTTTAAATCATAAATGGTATGAATGGAATACATTTGAGATATATTTACTAAACTTTGAAACTAAATTTAGGCTTTTTACTAATAACTGTAGCTAGAAGATGGGGAATTTTAAGTTTTCTTTAATTTTAATTAATTGAAACAACCACACATATACCTATATGGAATAGTGTAGCTTCTAGCCCTCTGATGTTGATGTAGACAGAGAAATGCCATTAGGGGATAGTCTGATGTGCAGATAAGTTGTTGTCAGTCAATTAAGGCATGGTGGCATTTACTTTATAGGCCTTGAGAGAAAGAAATTACTGTAAATCTAGATTCTTAATAAGAACAATCAAAAATAGAAGTAGGAGAAGGAAGTAACTTGGCCCAACTAGGCCTCAGGGAAGAAACTGGAGAAAAGAGGGCAGTGAGCTCACAAATTTGTGTTTTATTCAAAGGGAGGGATTTGATGTCTTCTAAAACTGTTGATTTTAGTGGTAGGTACAAGATAGTGGGCAAGTGAGGAAGCAAGAAATATAACAAGTGTCTTCTACAGAGTCTTGCTTTATTGCCAGGCACCAGGCTGGAGTGCAGTGGCACGATCTTGGCTCACTGCAACCTCTGCCTCCCGGGTTCAAGCAATTCTCCTGCCTCAGCCTCCCTAGTAGCTGGGACTACAGGTGCACGCCACCACACCCAGCTAATTTTTGTATTTTTTAGTAGAGATGAGGTTTCACCTTGTTGGCCAGGATGGTCTCGATCTTTTAACCTCGTGATCCGCCCACCTCAGCCTCCCAAAGTGCTGGGATTACAGGTTTGAGCCACTGCGCCTGGCCAGAGCTTACATTTGTTAGAGTGGGGAAAAAGAACAGACATGGACTAATTACCATTAACTAAATATGTCTAAACTATTGCACAGAAATACTGCAAAGGGATATGGGACTCATAATGGGGGGTGAGAGGTTAGAGAATACCCTCAACACTGAAAAAAGTGACATTAAAGCTGTGACACTAATATGGGAGATAGGAGGGCTGAGGTGGAATGCTGTCTTCTTTTATGTGATCCATCATTTAAGAAATAGGCTGGATGCAGTGGCTCATGCCTTTAATTCCAGCATTTTGGGAGGCCAAGTTGGGAGGACTGCTTGAGCCCAGAAGTTTGAGAACTGCCAGGGAAACATAGTAAGACCCTGTCTCCATCTTTTTTTTAAATACAGATTTTAACTTAACCCAGTACAGTCACGGTACAGTCTTACACACACACACACACACACACACACACACACACACACTTGAATCAAAAGGTTAATAAAATAAAAATTTTAGGTGGCATATACTGTATTTCTGTATTTTTAGAAAATGCTGTTGTGACCCATTAAATAGATTTTGTACCCCACTGATGGACTACAGTCATCAGTTTGAAAAACACTGCTCTGAGCCCGGTGCAGTGGCTCATGCCTGTAATCCCAGTACTTTGGGAGGCCAAGGTGGGTGGATCACTTGAGGGCATGAGTTTGAGACCATCCTGGTCAATATGGTGAAACCCTGTCTCTACTAAAAATACAAAAATTAGCTGGGTGTGGTGGTGTACACCTGTAATCATAGCTACTTGGGAGGCTGAGGCAAGAGAATTGCTTGAACTAGGGATGGGGAGGTTTCAGGGAGGCAAGATTGGGCCACTGCACTTCAGCCTGGGTTTGAAGTGCACTGACCGAGGAGACTCAGTCTCAGGAAAAAAAAGGAAAAAAAAAAAACACTGCTCTGAAGAATTTGGATAGAGGGAGCAGCATGTGCAGAGCACACATTAGGATGAAATCATAGGCAGGAGCTATGGAATGTGTATCTGGAACAGGCAAGATCCAGAAGATGCCCTGGAAACAGTGTGGCATAGTAAAAAGATGGAAGAAGTTGGAGATAATGGAGTCATAAGAGGACGGTATGAGCTGACAAACCCTCTTTAGCTATCTCTTGGGAAGCCAGGAGGGACAGTGTCTTTCATTTGCTTTTATGTAGAAGTGAGACATTCCTGTGGAGAATGTGGAGCTGTGGCTTTGTGAAGCCGACCTGAGCCTCCAGTCCTGACAGAAGTGTTTACTGTGGGCCCACATGGAACTAGCATAGCTCTGCCTGTTGGGCTTCCTCATAAGCTTTCTTTTGAAAACCACCATTGCAGCCCATGTCAGCCTTCCTCAAAACCCACCTTTGAGGTCGAGATTATTTTCAGCAGAAGTTGTAACTGTTATATATTTTATCTTATTCTAAGATATAAGAAAATACTTATCTCTGAATTCAAACATTAAGGAGTTTTTAACACATTTATATGAAATTTAAAAGGATTCATTCATAGCTTCATCACCTAGACACATGATACTTTTTATTTCTCCTTGTTTCTTTCAAGCCTTTGTCTTATGTGGAGTTATAATTGTTGTATAGTATATGTAGTTTTTGCTTCAAGCTTTTTTCATGTTAATTTTCATAAACACCTTTCTAGGTTTTTTTTCTGTAACATTTATCATTGTTAACTTCCTTTATAATATCTCTTTGAAGTACTATAATATATTTAAGTATATCTTTATTACTAGGTATTTTGTTGTTCCCACTTGGATACTAAAAGTAATCCTATTATGCTTTTTTAAATTTGAGATAGAGTCCCACTCTGTCACCCAGGCTGGAGTGCAGTGGTGCAACCCCAGCTCACGGAAGCCTCTGCCTCCTGGGTTCAAACGGTTCTCCTGCCTCAGTCTCCCAAGTAGCCGGGGTTATTATAGGTGTGTGCCACCATGCCAGGCTAATTATTGTATTTTTAGTGGAGATGGGGTTTCACCATGTTGGCCAGGCTGGTCTCGAACTCCTGGCCTCAAGTGATTCGCCTGTCTCTGCTTCCCAAAGTGCTGGGATTACAGGTGTGAGCCACCACGCCTGGCTATTATGTATACTTTTGTTCATTTAACTTTATTTATAAATTCTTACTAGAATTTAAACATGATGGCCAGGCGTGGTGGCTCATGCCTGTGATCCTAGCTGGGAGGCGGAGGCGGGCAGATCACAAGGTCAGGAGTTGAGACCAGCCTGGCCAACATGGTGAAACCCTGTCTCTACTAAAGATACAAAAGGCTGGGTGTGGTGGCTCATGCCTGTAATCTCAGCACTTTGGGAGGCCAAGACAGGTGGATCACCTGAGGTCAGGAGTTTGAGACCAGCCTGGCCAACATTGTGAAACCCTGTCTCTACTGAAAATATGAAAAATTAGCTGGGTGTGGTGGCGGATGCCTGTAATCCCAGCTACTTGGGAGGCAAAGGTTGCAGTGAGCCGAGATTGTGCCATTGCACTTCAGCCTGAATAACCAGAGCGAAATTCTGTCTCAAAAAAAAAAAAAACCAATTAGCCGGGTGTTGTTGTGGTGAGTAGCTGTAATCCCAGCTACTCAGGAGGCTGAGGCAGGAGAATTGCTTGAACCCAGGAGGCAGAGGTTTCAGTGAGCTGAGATTGCACCATTGCACTCCAGTGTGGGCGACAGAGAAAGACTATCTCAAAAAAAAAAAAGAATTTAAACATGATAACTTGATATGCATTGCTGAATTTCCTCCTGTAGTACTGAATTAAAACAAGGGACATACCTGCTATCTTATATAGCTTTTCTGGGCATTGGAATTTATAATATCTTGTTTTTTTCTGGTTAAAAATGTACCTCATTTTCTGTTTATTTTATTAGTTTGACAAACATGTTTATTTTCCCCTCTTTTTTTTTGCCTACTAGTTGTTATTTTAAGATTGTTTAGGATTAGGATTCTTTCCATTTCTCCTGACTGTATAATGAAAGAAAATGTTAGTTTTGTTTAAGAAATGTACTCTGTTCTTTTGAGATGCTTTTTGCTTTAAAGTTACTTTTCACCTATGATCTTTGTTTACCAGATTCTTAAGTTTTGATGTCTTACCAGCATTATTTCTCACGTTTATCCTTAACTAACTGCTGCAGTGCAAAATACGATCTTATACTAGATGAGCAGGCAGAAGACTCAAAATCAAGTCACTCACACACAAGTAAAAAACACAAGAAGAAAACCCGGCACTGCTCTGAAGAAAAAGAAGATGAGGACTACATGCCAATCAAAAATCCTAATCAGGTACCTCTAATGTCAAGACTTAGATGTGGAGAAATAAGTGTTTTATCCCTCTGTAAATGATGCCTTAGTGATACCACTTAGGAAGTAAGGGATCATTCTAAGCAGAGATGGAAGTGTTCCTAAGAAGTAGAATGTTTGCACTGGGTTATTGGGTTTTAATTTTCAAACATATTTATCACAAATAATAAAAGGTCATTTTTGACATAACTTGATGTATCAAATACTTCCACATTGTGAAGCAAGGTGATTTCCATACCTGTGGATACTCATTTATTCCCATCAAAAACAAGTGTGTTTGTGCTGAAAAAGACTGTCATTTATCTGCTTAATTTATCATCAAGTGTGATGTATAGCTCTTAAGGGCTCTTGAGATTTTATGTCCTACAAAACATTTATATTCTTCCATATTGTATATAAGAAATAAAAACAGCACTGATAGATTGAGCATCCTAAAAAGCTGTCCTGAACAGCACACTTTTAAAAACAGTAATAAAAATTCCCCAAAGAAAATTTAGTGTGAAGAAAAGTAATTATTTCCAACCTGTGTTTTGGTTCTTACTTAAATAAAAAACAGTTTACAGGCCGGGTGCTGGTGGCTCATGCCTGTAATCCTAGCACTTTGGGAGGCCAAGGCAGGCAGATAGCTTGAGCTCCAGAATTCAAGACCAGTCTGGCAACATGGTGAAACCCCATTTCTACAAAAAAAAAAAAAAAAATTAGCCAGGCCTGGTGGTGTGCACCTATGGCCTCAGCTACTTGGGACGATCTCTTGAGCCCAGGAGGTAGAGGCTGCAGTGAGCCCAGATCGTGCCACTGCACTCCAGCCTGGGCAACAGAGCCAGACCATGTCTCCAAAAAAATACTGATTTTTTTTTCCCCATCAGAGCTCTTTGCTTTTGTTTTACCACATAGAGGCATTTGAACTGGGCCCTGGTAGATGAGAAGGATTTCAGTGGGTTGAGCTGAGAAGGGAGGAAACTCAAGATGATGAGAACGTGAAGTAAAGATGCAGAAAAGTCAAGGATTTGCTGTCAGGAGAGCTAGAAACGTTTACATTTCCATACTGCTAGTCATCAAGTGACCTTGACAAGTTCTTTAACTTTCTGAGCCACAGTTTTATCCTCAGTGAAAAGTGAGAAATACTTTACAGGCATGTTGTTGAGATTAAGTGGAAAAAAAATGCCTCTGCAAACATTCTCTACGATGGCTATTATTGTTACTACTTTTTTTTTTAAACTGTTGAAGCAAATTACTAGTTTTAGAGTTACTTGAAATAGTTTCTCTCTGTGGTTATGACATTAACTAGATTTATATTTCAGTTAAATTGTTTCTTTTTATTTTTAATGTTTAAGGGTTGCTTTGACAATTTTTTGTTTTGTAGTTTTAAAAACTGTTTCCAAAATGAAATCTACAAAATGGTATATATAGAGAACCTAGCTTCTGTTCTTGTTCCCTCCCCATTTCCTTCTTCCCTCTGTGGGTATTTTGTGTATTTTATGGGTTATTCATTTAAAAAAATTTAGCAAGTAAATATTTGTCATATGTTCTTACCTCTTTGCTATAATCTAGCAGAGATGGAATTTCTTCTTTCCACAGCCCTTTAGCTGTTTAAAGACTGCCATCATTCATGACTCATCCTGTTTTAGGCCATACTTTTGTTGGTTCCTTCAAATATTTCTCACATGAATCAGTGGTGGTAATAAAAGTAGTAGTAGGCCAGGTGCAGTGGCTCATGCTTGTAATCCCAGCATGTTGGGAGGCTGAGGCAGGAGAATCACCTCAGCCCAGAGTTCAAGACCAGCCTGGGCAACATAGCGAGACTCAGTCTCTGCAAAAAATTTAAATAAGAAAAAGAAAAAAGTAGTCGTAGCAGCAGCAGTAGTAGTAGCAGCAGCAGTAGTAGTAGTAGCAGCAGCAGTAGTAGCAGCAGCAGCAGTAGTAGTAGCAGCAGCAGTAGTAGTAGTAGCAGCAGCAGTAGTAGCAGCAGTAGTAGTAGTAGCAGTAGTAGTAGTAGCAGCAGCAGTAGTAGTAGTAGCAGCAGCAGTAGTAGTAGTAGTAGCAGCAGCAGTAGTAGTAGTAGCAGCAGCAGTAGTAGTAGTAGTAGCAGCAGCAGTAGTAGTAGTAGCAGCAGCAGCAGTAGTAGTAGTAGCAGCAGCAGTAGTAGTAGTAGTAGCAGCAGCAGCAGTAGTAGTAGCAGCAGCAGTAGTAGTAGTAGTAGCAGCAGCAGTAGTAGTAGTAGCAGTAGTAGTAGTAGCAGCAGCAGTAGTAGTAGCAGCAGCAGCAGTAGTAGAAGCAGCAGCAGCAGTAGTAGTAGTAGCAGCAGTAGTAGTAGCAGCAGCAGTAGTAGTAGCAGCAGCAGTAGTAGTAGCAGCAGCAGCAGTAGTAGCAGCAGCAGCAGCAGTAGTAGAAGCAGCAGCAGCAGTAGTAGAAGCAGCAGCAGCAGTAGTAGCAGCAGCAGCAGTAGTAGTAGTAGTAGTAGCAATAGTGGTAGCAGTAGTAGTGGTGGTGGTAATAGTAGTAGAATCAGCAGCAGCAGCAGTAGTAGTAGTAGCAATAGTGGTAGCAGTAGTAGTGGTGGTGGTAGTAGTAGTAGAATCAGCAGCAGCAGCAGCAGTAGTTAACATTTTTTTTGGTCCTTACAATGTGAGGTAGGTTCTTTCATCCCCTTTTCTTTTTTTTTGAGACGGAGTTTCACTCTTGTTACCCAGGCTGGAGTGCAATGGCACGATCTCGGCTCACCGCAACCTCCGCCTCCTGGGTTCAGGCAATTCTCCTGCCTCAGCCTCCCGAGTAATTGGGATTACAGGCACGCGCCACTGTGCCCAGCTAATTTTTTGTATCTTTAGTAGAGACGGGGTTTCACCATTTCGACCAGGATGGTCTCGATCTCTTGACCTCATGATCCACCCGCCTCAGCCTCCCAAAGTGCTGGGATTACAGGCGTGAGCCACCGTGCCCGGCCTTTCATCCCCTTTTCACACAACAAAGGAAGCGAGAACAAAAAAAGTTGTTACTTGCCCATAGTTTTACACAGCTAGTAAGTAGTGGAACCATAGTTTAATTTCCTACTTGCACTCCTAACTACTCTTGCTGCTCTTCTTACCTGGGGTATATTCTTGTCAGTTTTCCTTCCTAAACTCTATTGTTATTTTAACAAAATTTGTACTGTCTCAGTACAGTATTCCACTGTGATCTAACAGAAACACATCTCCTCCTTCTTAAATGTCTGTACTCTATGGATTACTTTAGTCTAAGGTCACAGTCTTTTTCACTGGTGACTGGATCACATTCCTATGAATGTTTAGCATGTTTTCCACTAAAAACTCTGAATTCCTTCCCCCTACCATGTGCTGCTTTTAGCTCCAGCTTTGCATCCTGCCCTTGTACATGGAACCTTCAATGAATTTAAGCCTGAGATAAATAAACATTGGTGTGTTTGATATAATCAGAGGTCTAAAAAAATTCAGACTGGTTGTGTTTTTTTTGTGTGAATCTTTTCAATTCTGCTGTTTGATTACTTGAAACCTTACAGTAGCAAAAATCCTTCTCATTTTGCTTGAAGTAAAAGCATCAAGATTTTGGGGGAATACTGTTAGTATTTTTTAAAAGAATTTTAAGGCAGTTTTAAGTTTTAATTTTAGGGCAATATTAACTATAAAATTATTAAATGCTGAAAATGATCAAATTTTACTTCTATCTTTACATTACATTTTTAAAACGTTTTCTACTTTGATTTAATAATATAGCTACATTAATTTCTCCTAATAAAACTCAGCATCAGTATTTAAGATTTTAGTGGCCCTCAATTTTTTTTATTATTTTGATTGCTTTCCTTTTCTTAAATTCTTTAAAGAGAATTTTCAGTACTAGACAAATTTCAGCTATAGTTCATATTTTCCTATTTGTTGGTGTTTTGCTTGGTAGGTCTGGTTTCCCAAGAGTATTTTAACTTATTTCTTCAAATTCTTTGTTTTTTATTGAGTAGATAGGCTTATCAATTCAAAAACCTCTCTGTTTAATTTTCCACCTCATGTCTTAATTCCAGAAGTGGTTTTGTGTTGTTGAGGTTTGGGTTTTACGGGGGTTACAGGAAATGAGTATTCAGCTGGAGGTTGCCTTACTGACAAGTGTTCATGCTGGTTGTCCATTTTCCACCGGGGTTTTCATAATGTTTGTATTCTTGACTGTATTTTGCTGTCATTTTAGTGATTTAATGTTACTTTGGTGATTAAGATTTAACCAGATCCTTGATTTGGTCCCAGAGGCCTGAGCAAGACTTTTTTTCACTGCTTATATTAAGTCATTTGTTAGGTTCTTTAAATTGGCCATTTTGTGTTCTTTGTTTTTTTCTTTCTTTTTTGGCCATTTAGTCATCATGTCTTATGTTTTAAATGTATAAATAATATAAGTTTTAGAAGTTCATACTGGAAAGGACCTAGAGCTTTAATTCATTTCTCTCACTTTAGATATGGAGATACCAATCCCACAGGCTCTTAGGCCTTTATAGTTTAGTGGAAGAGCTAGAGTTTTAACATTTATTTGAATCAGTCAGATGTTGGATTTTTTCCCCATTATTCTATACCACTCCCCCCTTTTTAATTTTGGATGTCAAGTTACTGATTGATTAAATAATTATCTCCAACCTGTGCAGATCTCTTGAGTCTCAGTTTCCCTATTTCTAGAATGAGGATAATATTGCACCCCTAAAGCTCTTAGCACCGTGTTAGCATGTACTTAAAGGATCTGCTCTTACGTGGCCTCATTCAGCCACTTAAACTTTTCCCCTTCATACAAACAGTGCTCATTTTTCCTTGCTTTCCAGTTTTCACTTATGCTACTTTCATTAGCCTTCTTGCAGCCTAGTCAGACCCAAGCTCACTTATCCTCTGAGGCTCATCTGAGATCCTGACTTCTCCGTGAAACCTTCTCTAATTAGTCTAACCTTAAGAGTACTTCTTGTTTGACACATCTCCTAAATGTCAAAGACTCCTTGAACCCAGATCTGCTTGACTTCAAAGCTTGTGTAGCTTTGAAAACTACTCCCAAGTAGGAGTGATTTTAAAGTTTCAGTCCAATTCAAATATTCAGCTTCTTCAATTTTTTAAAAGAATTAAGTGCTATATAATCTTTTATCTCTTTTATTTTAAATACTCAAAGCACTTAAGTGCCCATTTGTATAATAACATGCTGAGGATTTGATGACGTTATGTATCAGCCAACAGTCTCTGCTTTTGAAAAGTTTGTCTCAACCAGTACAGAAATAAGGATAAGATGTACAGATATAATACTATATGGATATTTCTATTTTGTATATGTCGGAAGCACAAAAATTCTTTTATCTAGAAATGTCATAATTTACTAGAAAATAGATGGTAAAGGGCTAAACCAAAATGCCTACTCATTTTTTCTACCTCAGGGACTCTTACAATATGACAAGAACTATTTGGATTGTGTGGAAAATCACAAATTGGTTTATAATGTATTCCACAAACACTTTGATTATTATGGTAACAATCATGTTACGTCTGTTTTCACACACTGCCAAACTCAAGGGGTACAGTATCTAGACAGTATATGGAATAATTAATAATTTGCCTAAAACCCAGTCCTTAACCATAGGTATTCATCACTCTGGATTTTAAGCCTTGACATTTATATCTACTACAGTAATGTCTGGTGATAGAGTTGAGACCCTTGGGATTTCAGTCCTTATAATTTTGCCTTTCCCTTGGGCAATCTTAAAGAAAGTTGAATTTTACAAAGTATCTCTTGAAAGAGCATTGGCTCTAGTCTAAGAGTAGAATTAAATTTAGCAGTTTTATTATCTTTGGGGCAAAGGATTCTTCTAGTGTTTTTTAACTCATTTTAAAGAAATGTAATAATTTTAATGTAAGCCTGGTCAGCTGGGTGAGGTGACTCATACCTATAATCCCAGTACTTTGGGAGGCTGAGGTGAGAAGGGATCGCTTGAGCCTAGGAGTCTGAGACCAGCCTGGGGAACATGGTGAAGCCCGTCTCTACAAAAACAAAAATTAGCCAGGTGTGATGGCACATGCCTGTAGTCTCAGCTACTTGGGAGGCTGAAGTGGGAGGATCGGTTGAGCCTGGGAGGTTGCAGCTGCAGTGAGCTGTAATCATACCACTTCATTCCTGCCTGGGTGACAGAGGCACCTCCTCTCTAGCTTCTGTGTTTCTAAACATAGCAGATGTATTTGAAGATCTAGAGAGGAGCTGTTATAAAGTAAAACACTTTAAAAATAAATTGCTCAGACCCAAGTATACATTAACCCGTTTTCTTTTCGTTTAAGACTTACTGACTTTCTAAGATCTCTTCCTGCTGAGTTATTTCAGTGATATCTTCTCACAGGATTCTTGTGGGGATTTTAGTAGTTTTATTGCAGATCAATAATGGGGCCACATTTTGGGGGAGTGAAGGATGGGGAGGTGGGAATAAGACTATAATAATCAGAATTTTTGATATTGCAGCATTTTTCTAAAGGCATGTTCTAATTTCAGTTGAGCTGTTTCATTTTCATATTTTGGGATCTGATCCTTCATTTCAGCCAAAATATTAAATACAAAGCAATGAAATTGTTAAAAAAATGGTTAAACCTTTTTCTGAATTATTTTATTGCTTTGTAATTTACAAGATTCTTGACATTAGTGGTGGTGTTCACGTTTGAGCTGTTATAACAGCCTGCTAATGATAGTCTTTCTAAGTTTTATTAATTGAAAATGCCCACAACATGATGATTTTACTGATTCACTTGTAATTCTCCCTTCCTTTGACAGGATATCTATAGAGAAATGGGGTTTGGTCACTATGAAGAAGAAGAAAGCTGTTGGGAGAAACAAAAGAGTGAAAAGAGAGATCGAACTCAGAACCGAAGTCGTAGCCGATCTCAAGAGAGGGATGGCCATTATAGTAATAGTCACAAATCCAAATACCAAACAGATCTTTACGAAAGAGAAAGGGGTAAAAAGAGAGACCGAAGCAGAAGTCCAAAGAAATCCAAAGATAAAGAAAAATCTAAGTACAGATGAAAGATGAAGAGGCAGAATTGAGTGGCTAACATATTTACTCTTGTCTAACTTAGCGTGTCAGGAAAGCAGATGCTTAGATTTTGTGTCAAAGCTTGTTTTTTTTCATACTAGGATTGTGGCCCTTTAGATTAATACTGATTATATAGGGCATTAAAAAATAAAGAACTGAACATTTTCTTTGTATACTTTTTTACAGTAATTTTATTGTTAAACATAAATGGTAGTCTTCATTTTTGAAATATTTTACATTTTCATCTTTTTTTAATGAAATATTTCATACTACAAAAATACATAAGCATGTATATATAAAGTAAAGGGATAATAGATGTAAATATCTGTGTACTCATCAGCCAGCTTAAAATACAGAATATGGCCTCCATTTTAGAAGTCCCTTAAGTGCCCTCTCCCTCTCAAGTAATTATTTGGAATTTTGTGTTTGTCATCTGCCTATTATAGTTTTACAACATATGTATGTATCTGTAAATGAAATGTTAATTTTGTATGTTTCTGAATTTTATATAAATGGCAAAATGTTTACTTCTGTGACTTTCATTTTTATTGCTACATAGTATTATATGAATATACTACAGCTTATTCTTCTCTTGAGGGACATTTGAGTTCTGTTTATTTTTATTTTTGCTGTTGAAACAATGCTGCTGTGAACATTGTCTAGGAATTATGTTGCTTGATATGTTGATAAAATAATGCCACATTATATTCTGAAGTGGCTGTGCTGGTTTATACCCCTCCTGGCTCTGTGACTTACCTTTGTATTATACCATCTCCAACACTTGTTAAGTTCAGACTTTTAAAAATTTGCCAACCTAGTGAATGTTAAGTGGTATCTTACTGTGATTTCCAGCAAGATTATTCTCTGTTCTTCCATGTGTAAGATGTCCTTTTTTTCCTGGCTGCTTTTAAGGTTTTCTCTCTGTCACTCATTCTAAGCAGTTTGATAGGTGCTTGATACTGTTTTTTTGGTTTTTTTTTTTTCATGTTTCTTCTGCTGTAGCTATTCTACCTGTGGGTTTATGGTTTTCATAGAATTTGGAAATTTGGGGACATTTTTTTCTTCTGTTTTGTTTTTCTTTTCTTTTTTTTTATTTTTTGAGACGGATTTTCGCTCTTGTTACCCAGGCTGGAGTGCAATGGCGCAATCTCGGCTCACTGCAACCTCCGCCTCCTGGGTTCAGGCAATTTTCCTGCCTCAGCCTCCTGAGTAGCTGGGATTACAGGCACGTGCCACAATGCCCAGCGAAATTTTTTTTGTATTTTTAGTAGAGACAGGGTTTCACCATGTTGACCAGGTTGGTCTCGATCTCTCGACCTCGTGATCCACCCGCCTTGGCCTCCCAAAGTGCTGGGATTACAGGCTTGAGCCACCGCACCTGGCCATTCTATTTTGTTTTTCTGTCTCTCTGCCCCTCTCATGCTTCTCCTGGGGCTCCGATGACTTGGATGTACATTAGGCCCCTCAAAGTTGTCTCCCAGTGTGCTGATGCTTTTCTCAGCTTTTTAAAAAGCCTTTTTCTTGCTGTGTTTCATGTTGGGTAGTTTCCACCGCTGTGTCCTCATTGTTCATTAATCTTCTCTTCTGAAGTATCTAATTTCCTTTTAATCGTATCCAGGTATTTTTCACCTCAGACATTTTAGTTTTTAGAGGCTGTGTCTGGGACATTATCTCTCGTGTGTCTTCTTCACATGCTCATGCCTTCCTCTATTTTTAACATTTGGAGTGTATTGATAGGAGCTGTTTCAGTGTACTTGCACATTCTGTCATCCGCATCATTTCTGGGGTCTGTTTCTATTGATTGATTCTGACCCTACCCCAACCCCTACACTGCCCATATTGGGTTGTAATTTCCTTCATTATGTGCCTGGTAATTCTGTTTTTAACATTGAGCTTAAGTTCTTTTATTTAAGTATCTTGAACTCTGTTTGGGGACATAAAGTTACTTGGAAACAATCTGATCATTTTGTAGCTTGCTTTTAAGCTTAGTGAGACAGTTCCGGGACAGTTTAGCACTAATTTGACCCACTATGAAGGTAATACTGTTCTGAATAATCCTCCTGGTTACTGAGCCCTATTGAGCTCCCAGTTGTATTTCTTGTTCCTTTGTGCTGGTTCTTCCCAGCTGTGTGTAATTACCTCACATGCATACACTGCTTGTTGTTTAGCTGAAGACTCAAGGGAAACCCAATATTCTACCCTGCAAATCTTACCTTGGCTATATAGTAGGTTGTCTTTTTATATTTAATAGATTGTGGATACTAAGAATAAGTTAGGGAGTGCTGTGTCTCTCTTTCTCTCCCTCTCTGTTCTCTTGGAAGAAAAAAAAAATTTAAATTATCTGTTCCTTAAAAGCTGCATAGAGCTTACCTATAAAATTGTCTGAACTTTGCATTTTTTGTGAGAAAATTTCTTTGATTAGGTTTCAAAAATTATAGAATTATTAGTCTTTCTATTTCTTTAATGTTAGTCATTTTTATTACATTTCTCTGGGAATTTATTTTCAATGAAGTTTTTAATTTTGATGGAGGTGCACATAGTTTAGCTGGTAGATTTTAGCTGATAGATTTTTACTGTCATTTTGCTTTGTTGATGAATGTTGTTATATTTTAGTATGTCTCATAAATAGCATATAGCTAGATGATTATTATTTTTTGAGACAGAGTCTTGCTTTGTTGCCCAGGCTGGAGTGCAGTGGTGGAATCTCAGCTCACTGCAGCCTCTGCCTCCTGGGTTCAAGCAACTCTTCTATCTCAGCCTCCTGAGTAGCTGGGACTACAGGTAGCCACCACCATGCCTGGCTAATGTGTGTGTGTGTGTGTGTGTGTGTGTGTGTATATTTTTTTTTTTCTAAAGAGTCTGGGTTTCACCATATTGGCCAGGCTGGTTTCAAACTTCTAACCTTGTGATCCACCAGCCTCAGCCTCCCAAAGTGCTGGGATTACAGGGGTGAGCCACCGCACCTGGCTGATTATTTTTAAATTTAATCTGAACTTTAACTGGTGAGCTTATTTTTATGTTTATGGATGTATTTGGATTTGTTTCTTACCACCTTATTTTGTGCTTTTTATGTTTTTTTTCAACCCTTTTTTTTCTTTTGGAATCAAATGTTTTTTAATTCCACCCTCATCGATCTGCCCCCTCTGTTCTGGGGAGTTGCTTTGGAATATTACATCCATACTTAAAAAGTGTAATGCTCTATCTTTACCCTCCTAATTGAAAGTCTTGGAACTCGCTAAGTCACTCATCCAGTATTTTAGTCATAGCTTACGATTTTTAACCTTAAAATTAGACCTTGAGCTGCACTCAGTGGTGCACACCTGTAGTTCCGGTTGCTGAATGGCTGAGGCAGGAGGATCCCTTGAGGTTGGGAGTTAGAGGCTGCAGTACACTGTGACTGTGCCTGTGACCAGCTGCTGCATTCCAGCCCGGGCAGCATAGTGAGGTACCGTTTCTTAGAAAAAATATTAGACCTTCTGATTATTACTGCTTTTGTACAGATAATTTTTGGTTTAGATTTACTTTATATGTTGGAAGTGTTTCTTTACTCATTCTTGCATCTCAGGCCTTTCACCTAGGATAATTTTCCTTCTTTCTGAAGCACGTCCTTTGATGTTCCTCCAGTGACAGCTGTTGATAACAAACTCTTACTTTACATTTATCGAAAATGTTTTAAAGTCACTCATTCTATAAAGCTGATTTTGTATGTACATAATTCTAAGTTGACAGGTTTTTTTATTTTCAGTACTCTGAAGAATCAGTCTACTGTCTTTACTTGTGTTACTAATGGGGAGAAATCTTTTGTCATTCCAAATGTCATTCTTTTCGATATAATGTGACTTCTTTCTGATTGCTTTTTCACTGTTAATTAAACTTTCAATTTTGAAGTCAGTTGGAGACTGGCGTGCAGTCGTAAGAAATAATACAGAGAGAACCTGTGTACCCTTTGCCTGCTTTCTCCCAGTGATGTTATCTTGTAAAGTTCTAGTACAGTATTAACCTAGATGCCAACATGGACACAGCGGAGATACAGAATATTTCCATCACTACCAGGACCCCTCTTGCCATCCTTTCATAGGCACATCTATTTCCCTGCCACTTCTGTTTTCTCCTTCACCGCTGTCAACCACTGATCTGTTCTCCATTTCTATAATTATGTCATTTCAAGGATTTTATATAAGTGGAATTCTATATTATGTAGCCTTTTGAGGGAGTCAGTCATAATTCGGAAGTACATAATCTCAAATGCCATAGTCATGAAGGTTGAAATCCTGAAAATCAATCCAAAATATATAATTCTGGAAAGAATAATTTTAAAACTCTTTAAAAGATACTTTTTACATTTTTTTTTTTTTTTTTTTTTGAGACAGAGTCTTTCTCTGTCACCCAGGCTGGAGTGCAGTGGCACGATCTTCGATTACTGCACCTTCTACCTCCCAGTTTCAAGAGATTATTCTGCCTCAGCCTCCCCAAGTAGCTGAGACTACAGGTGTGTGCCACCGTGCCTGGCTAAATTTTGTATTTTTTTGTAGAGATGGGTTTCACCATGTTGGCCAGGCTGGTCTCAAACTCCTGACCTCAGGTTATTTACATTTGTAAAAGAGGAGTTATTTGAGAAATACTAACACATGACAGAACACAGGCCAGTTTACACAATAAGATAGGCAACATTACTTATTTTTGCAAGCATAACCAGTTCTCTGCCCTACTAATGACAGTCTCATGGGTATAGATGAATGGTGTTTATAAAGAAATAGGTCAAAAAGGGAAATGTCTCAATGCATAGCCTGATGGTTGGTAATTGTGTACACTCAGTTTTGTAACTGCAGTCATCTGAAATACTTTAAGAACAACCAGTGTCTTCCACGGGTTTCACTCAGATGCTAATCTCTGGAAACACTTGCGCAGACACACTCAAAATCATAAGTTTCTAGGTATTGCTTAATCCAGTCTACTTGACACCTAAAATTACCTCTTATCAACTCGGCACCCATACATACCTCCTTAAACCGTACTTAATTTCCAAATAAAGACTGAGAAAGTTGTACTTCTGCCTAACACAATGCCGGTATCCTGTGATTGTGATTTTTGGAATTTGAGACATTACGGATTTTAGATTAGGCACTTTGATCTTTTGGGATTTTCACCATGCAGGATTAAATGTTCAGGATTGTTTTACAGGATTATAAACCAAACCTCCTTTTGGGATTGGCTTCGTTTAGCTGCAGTCAGCCTTATTCTTCAGAGATTCTCCCAGGTTGTTGATGGATCAATAGCTCACTTTTATTTTGTTTTGTTTTATTCATTGATTTGGGCTGGAGTCTTGTCTTGTTGCCCAGGGTGGAGTGCAGTGGCACAATCTTAGCTCACTGCAACCTCTGCCTCTTGGGTTTGAGTGATTCTCCTGCCTCAGCCTCCTGAGTAGCTGGGATTACAGGCATGTGCCACCACACCCTGCTACTTTTGTATCTTTAGTATAGGCGGGGTTTCTCTGTGTTGGCCAGGCTGGTCTTGAACTCCAAACCTCAGCTGATCCACCAGCCTTGGCCTCCCAAAGAGCTGGGATTACAGGAGTGAGCCATTGCACCCGGCCTGTATTTCTTTAATTGGTAATGTTGTTGAGTATCTTTTCATGCATTGATTTTGCCATCTGCGTACCCTGTTTGGTGAAATGTTATTTTACATCTAATTGAATTTTTAGGTTTTGTGATTTTTGAGTTTTGAGAGTTCTTGATTCTGCATACTAGTTTTTTTTTTGTCAGATATGTTGCTTGCAGATGTTTCCTCCCAATGCATAGCTTGTCTTCCTTTTTTTTTTTTTCTTTTTTGGGACAGAGTCTCGCTCTATCACACTGGAGTACAGTGATTCGATCACAGCTCACTGCAGTCTTGACCTCCAGGGCTCAAGCAATCCTCTCACCTCAGCCTCTTAGTAGCTGGGACTACAGGTGCCTGCCATCATACCCAGCTAATTTTTTTCTTATTATTAGTAGAGACGAGGTCTCTGTGTTGCCCAGGTTGGCCTTGAACTGCTGGTCTCAAGCAATTCTCCTGCCTTGGCCTCCCAAAATGCTGGGATTATAGGTATGAGTCACCACATCTAGCCTCCAGTGTATAGCCTGTCTTTTAATCTTCTTAACAGAGTTTTGTAGAGTACAAGATTTTAATTTTTCTGAAGTTTATCAGTTTTTCTTTTATGGATTATGCTTTTGGTGTCAAAAGTTAGAACTCTGCGGATCACTAGCTTCTGAAATTTTTCTATACTTCCAATTTTTTTCTAAAAATTGTCTAGTTTTATGTTTAAGACTGTGATCCATTTTGAGATTTTGAGTTTTTTTTGGCTTATGAACATCGACTGGCACTGGCACTATTTGTTGAAAAGGTCTCTGGCTGCTTTTAAGGTATTCCTTGTCTTTAGTATTCTAGAATTTCACTATAATGTGTCTAGATAGGGATTTCCTTTATCTTGTTATGTTCTGTGTCTGACGGCTTCATGTTTTTTATTATTCTGGAAACTTCTCTACCATTTTCTCTTGAAATAGTCTCTCTTCACATTCGATTACTTCCTTTTGTAATCTTAGTCGGTTTGATGTAAGGCTTTCTCATTCTGTTCTTTGTATCTCAACTCATATTTTCCAGATAGTGCATTCTGAATACTTCTTCCAGGTCTGTATTCCAGGGCCCCCATTCTTTTTCATAAAAGCCTAGTCTCCTATTTAACTTATCTACTGAAATTTTAATTTCAGTATTTTTTTTTAGGAGTTCTGTTTGATTCTTTCTAGAATTTGCCTGGTTATTTTTGATTTTCTGTTGTTCCTGGCTCACTTATTTCCACTCTGTTTTATTTACATAATTCTATTGTGTTTTTGATAATTCCAGTATCTTAATTTCTTAAGAATTAAAAAAGTTTTCCTGCTGACCCTTGTGCATAGTGGCTTATTTCCTTATCTGTTTCAGATTTTTTTTTCCCCCTTAAATTGGGAGGACATACGTTGGGACTCCTAAGGTACCTAAAATGAAGATGCTTTTCTCCAGAGAGGATGCATATTTACCTTGCAGACTCCAGGTGATGCAATCACTGCGGGCCATTTCATTTCTGGCTTAGACTTTCCATGTGCAAGCATAATGTATTTTTGACCCCTAGACCTTGATGAAAATTGACAAAATATCAGGGGAAACATGTCTAGTATTAAGATCGCCTATCTATACCCCCATGATTGGAGAACCAGGGAAAATGCAGCTGGCTTTTTTCTAGCCCAGTCTTTCTCTTTCTCTGACAAGTTTGCTTTAGGCGAACCCTTCTAGCTTCATGTGAAGATCTCAGGCTTAGCTTCCCAGTTCTCTTTTAGGCCCAAAGCCTTGTCTTTATAGATATCCCTCATCACTGTGACCTGAAGTCCTTAGTCCCTGGCTGTGCAGGCAGGGTCATCCTGGCTAGTGGCCTGCCCACCATTTCGCAAATATATTTGTGTCATGAGGAATATCCCTGTCTTGCAGTCTCATCAATGCATTTAAGAGTATGATTACTGGCTGGGCATGGTGACTTACATCTGTCATCCCAGCATTTTAGGAGGGCAAGGTGAGCAGATCACCTGAGGTCAGGAGTTTGAGACCAGGCTGGCCAATATGGTGAAACCCCGTCTCTACTAAAAACACAAAAAATTAGCCGGGTTTGGTGGTGCATACCTGTAATTACAGCTATTTGGGAGGCTGAGGCAGGAGAATTGCTCGCACCTGGGAGGTGGAGGTTGCAGTGAGCCAAGATCGCGCCATTGCACTTTAGTCTGGGCAACAAGAGCGAAAATCCATCTCAAACAAACAAACCAACAAAAAAAAAAACTCCCAAAAAAACAAAAAACAAAATTAGGTGGGTGTGGTGATAAACCACACACACCTGTAACCCCAGCTATTTGGGAGGCTGAGGCAAGATAATCGCTTCCACCTGGAAGGTGGAGGTTGCACTCCAGCCTGGGTGACAGAGGGACACTCCGTCTCAAAAATAACAAAAAAATCCCACAGTATAATTGCTGTATTTGTTCAGGATGTTGTATGGAGGAGGTGGGAGGGGTGGATACAATTCAGAATATCTGGTTCACCATACTGCTAAGAGCAGTTATCTCCTCGATACTGTACATAGCTCTTAGCCATCAACAGAAAACATTTTAAATACACAAGAAACTATCACAAAAATATAGGAAAATACATATTATTCATACAGAAGATTCTCAAATGTAGTGTGAAAGAATGAATGTGCAAGCGAGAAATGTTGGTTGCAGGTGATGGGGCAGTGAGAAGAAATAACCTACTCACATCTGAAGCCTGAATTCAGTAGATCCAGTGGGCAAAATCAAAGTAGTAAGAATGTTGGAGCCTATCATTGCAAGGCAAACCTATCCTTAATTGCAAATGCTGCAATGAAGTATGAGAAACTGGCTTTAACAAAGATGTGTGCACAGAACATAGTGTTCATCAAGTAACCTTGATTACATACAGCGCCGTCTTGGCTTCATGTTGCCACTGCTAGTCTATCGTAAAGTGGCCATGTTTCCTATTCTATTTTGCTTCTCTAGGTTTTGGGTGAACTCTTTTTTTTTTTTTTGGTGACACAAAATTTAATAGAAATTTTGTTTGTAGTTCTTACATTCTCAGCGCGAGCTGATCTAGGACCCACTGCCCCATCCAGAAGTGGCCCAGTCCTGGGGGCAGGGAAGAAAGGGTGATGTGAAATGAGAAGAACCCCATTCTTCCTCAGTGCTGGAGGGCTGGAGATGCTGCCCCCTTCTCCTGCCTGGCTCTGGGCTCCCGAAAAGAGAGCAGATGGAATCTCAGGCCTGCGGCTTCACACCACTGCACTCCCAGGTTGGAGAGGAGCTAAGAGATATGGTGGGAGA